CACTAGCGACCCCCGGTGTTCCGATTTCCCTTCCCCCGACCATACCTACTACTTCACCCACCCGGGATTTGTCGTCATCACCACCAGTTTCCCTCCTTTTCGCCTCCTTCTCCCGTATCATCAACTCAGCGTCGTTTCGTGGCTGGCCATAGCCCCCTATTGGCCCAGCACGCCTTGCGGGAATCGCCGACGTAGCGGCGAGCAGAGAACACCGGAATTCCGAAGGCCCAACCCAAATACGCAGCGGCCTGCGCCACGTGGCGGCCCCCGACGGCCTAACTTTTCGGGACTGCCTCCTCCGCGGAGGGACTTCCCCGTAAACCGCCGCCCACAGTACCCCGGCCCCATCGGGCCTTGAGTCCCTTGCGCACGGGCCCCTTGTTTACCTAATTGCATTCATACCCCTAAGACTCCCCCACTTTTTCCAAAAATCCTCGGCACACCCCTTTTCGCACTTCCAGGCCCCCATCCCACTCCGATCAGGAAGTCGCGCTGGGCGTGAGGTTGGTATCGGAGCCCGACACGTGGCTAGGGTCTTAGGATTGATAGCACGTTAATTAGTCGACCTGGCTAACCGTGGGCGACCTCGCCCTTGGAACGCGCAAAGACGCGACCCTATCGTCACTCGAAGCAGATCGGCTAACCGACGAGTAACCAATATGGCTGCCAATGTGCAAAACCCGATTCCGCAACAGAATGCTTACCCACCAAATCAACCCGCCCCACGTGCACGAGCTCCCATGACGCCACCTGATCTCTATCTATTTGATCCGGCGCACCATCTCGAAGGAGCATGGCTGGCCACGCTTAGAGCACAGCAGTACGATGATAACGAAGCACAGATCAACATTCTGGCTCGAATGGGAGGAGACACTCATCATTGGTACAATACCTACGTGTGGGTTGATCTCCCGACCTTCGAACGGGATTTCATGAACCTATTTGATTATGTCCACCCCGAGCAAGCATTGTACATGATCAAGGACCGAGCGCAAAAACCTTTCGAATCCGTTGCAGAGTATCGAAACCGGTTCTATAGAATATTCGTGAAAACTGACCGAGGTGAGCAAGTAGGGAGAGATTTGTTCATCGACGGGCTTCACAGCCGAACAATAAGGGCTAAGCTGCAGAAACAATTCTCCCCCATCACTCACACGCTACAACAAATCATGGCTGCTGCGGAGGAAATGGAACGGAAGTTCGCAGCAAACTTCCTGGAAGGAGAAGATTATCCTAGAGAAGGAGACTCGACCGAACTCGCACGAGCAAGAGTTGAGTTGGCTGCCTTGCAGAACAAGTTTGAAAACATGGGATTTGTATTCGGACCTGTCACTTATATGGGCCCCAAACGAGTGGTCCTAAGTGAGATTCCGAGCACCTCCACTCCGATGATACCCCCGCGCGTCAGAGCATTACCCCCCCCACCGATTGAGGCCCCCGTACGATCGAACGAATCAGCGGTCATTTTCGAACTAACCAAAACGTTGATTAGTTTAATCCAGAAAAGCAAAAAGGAGCAGCGAGGGCACAATGCTCGGCTAGAAGCCATGATGAGGAATATGCGGCCCATTGCGGTGCGCGCCTCACCGATGCAGCAAGGATTAGCCCCGACACCTGCTCTCGGGGGAGCTGCGAACAATCTGAATGTCTGTTACGCCTGTCACCAGCCAGGACATCTAGCCCGTGATTGCCCCCACCGACCCCCACAATAGTGGATCGGGGTCGCGCCAATGGCTGCGGCCCCCATCGCTAGCGGACCTGGACGAGTCGGAGCTTTGATGGAAGCAGTAGAGGGTGGGGGAAGTGCCCTGGCCACCACGGAAGAAGCCGCCGAGCTAATCCCGCTAGACCAATACGTATCCCTTGGTTATCCCGGGCTTGGAATGATCGGAACAATCAGACCAGYGCCRGAACYAAAAGAGGTGGCGGAGTGGCGAYCGTCTYTAGGAGAAATGGAGTCRGGAGGACCCACCTTCGTCACAGGAGARATCGATGTATTAAACATCATCCGARCCTTKGACCATCGGATTYCACTTCCGATCGGTCATCTACTCTCGATYTCYRAGCAAGCCAATGAGCGAATGCTACAGCATTGCAAAGCAAACCGAAAGCGATTCGCCCTCGCCCGAACACCGAACGTAAAAGCCAAAAGCCCCACGCCCGAAGAAAACCCAACAAGCACTTCGGATCCGATACGGGTAGGTTTAATCCAGAAAGACGACCATTTCCTACGGGTTAAACCAATTCTGTGGAAATCCACAGAATGCGATAATGAAATTTGGGGAATTCCTTACAGCGCAATTATAGATTCAGGGGCAGCTGTGCTGGCTATTTCACTGAGAGTGGTCGAAAGGGCAGGTAGGAAAAACGATCTGATCATGCTCACTGAGAAAGATCAGCTCGTTTCGGCAGATGAAGAAAAAATCAAAACTGTGGGAAGAATGACCAATGTCGCTTTCCCATTAGGAAAAGTGCACGCGCTTGGAGATGTCGTAGTATTAGATGTTAATACGTACGACGTTCTTTTCGGACTACCCGCTTTTGTGGCCCTACGAGCGAGCTTGGATTTCGAACGAAGATCGATTATCCTGCGAAATACAGGATGAAAACCCGACGCTGTGCCTATGCGATTGACCCTTCGTACTACCATTAACACGGTCCCACGGGTTTCGCCGCTGATGACAGGGACTCTCCGCATGATCTCCTGGGATGAGTCCGCCGATGAAAAGTCATCGATGAATGATGCGGGCAGCAGTGATGAGGATGATCCGGAGATCTTGAAATTAGCACGACAGCGCGTTTACTACCCGCCGCCCAAAACGATAGCAAGAACGATGCAACTGACCAGCCGAAAAATTCAGAGGACCAAGGCGATGATCCTGGGTGAGCCCCTCGTGCAGATTTCGACGATGGTCGATTCTTTGGAACCCCCTCAAACCCTGTACGAAGGAATCACCCCTCTCCTCGCCCGATATAACGACAAGAGGCATTACTGTGACATTACAGATCTACCCAACTTGAAGTCCTTATTGACATCGGCTAAAGAAGTGAGGTTGTTACGCTTGGGGGGGGAAGCAAGTTCTCTGGAATCCCCTGGGCGTCTCGAAGCCGCAACAGACGAACTGGGGATAAAGATCGCAACTAAGAACGTGCCATGGCAGGATATTTGCGACGGGGTTACCCCGGAAGGACACGTGGCAATCCGGAAAGAAGATGCCCAGATGATGGCCACGGTGTTCTCCTGGCGATCGGACCATTCGTTCATCTCGGTGCCTCCACCCGATGTGGCAAAACAGGCGCGCATGAAATAGATTGACATTCGGATCAGGGACCAACTATTCGAACTACACGTTCCACAGTACGTACCGGATGAAATCCACCAGGTGATTGCGGGTATTCTAACAGAATATCAAGGAGCGATTAGTGTGACCGACACTGACATCGGCTTATCGTTAGTAATCCAACATCAAATTCCGACAGGAAATCACTCCCTGATTCATTGCAAACGTTACCGGTATTCGTTGATTGAACGCAAAAAGGCTCTCGAACGAATTCGGGAGTTCGAAGCCAGCGGCTGGATTGAACCCGCTACCGGACCTTGGTCATTTCCCGTAGTATTAGTACCAAAGAAAAACGGAGTGATTCGCATTTGCATTGATTATCACAAGCTGAATGAGATCACGATCAAAGATGTGTATCCCCTCCCCCGGATTGATGATTTGTTCGATGCGATTGGATGTGCCAATTATTTCAGCAAGTTTGGTATTTGGCATGGTTTTCATCATGGTTAAAGAGGAAGATCGACCGAAAACGGCCTTTGTGTTGTTTGAGGGCACGTGGCAGTGGGTTCGGTGTCCGATGGGGATTTGCAATGCGCCGACTACATTTCAGCGAGCGATGAACATGATGTTCCATAATTTCGTCAACAAGACACGGCTGACACAAGGGATGATTAACTTCTGCGTGATCGTGTACATGGACGATATCCTGGTCTATTCGGAAACCTACCACGGACACGCGCAACAATATCGAATGGACGTTGGGCGCATTGAGAGACGCTGGGTTCAAGATTGCGCTCGAGAAGAGCGAATTTCTTCTCTCGGAAATTTCGTTCTTGGGCTACGTCGTGACACGTGGAGAACTACGGCCGGACTCAAGAAAGGTTGCGGCGGTGAAAGAAACCCCGGTTCCCACGTCGCTGATGCAAGTTTGAGCTTTTTTGAGGTTAGCGTCGTACTACCGGCGCTTCATCAAGGGCTTTGCCGCGATTGCAAGACCATTAACGAATCTGTTACGGAAGGACCAGCCTCTCAGCTGGGACGCGGAGTGCCAGCAGGCCTTCGCGACCCTCAAAGACCCTTTGGCAGCGGCTCCTATTTTGATCCGACCGGACCCCTCCAAGCAGTTTATCCTCATTACAGACTGGCAACCGGAAGCCATTTCCGCTATTTTAGCGCAGAAGGGGAGCGATGGTCGTGAACACGTCATCGAGTACGCGTCTCGCACAGTGTCAGACGAACGCCGGAATGACTCAACACCTCAAGGCGAGTGTTATGCGGCAGTTTGGGGAATCCAACACTTCCATCCGTATCTCTACGGACAGAAGTTTTGCCTCGTGACGGATCACGAGCCTCTGCTAGCTTTGAAGAAGCTCACCAACTACACGGGCATGATTGGTCGTTGGGCGGTGCGACTGCAAGAATACGACTTCGATATCGTCCATTGAAAGACGGAGCGACACGGCAACGCGGACGGACTAACACGTCTGCATCGATCTGCCAAAGTACCAAAGGGCGAGGAAATTACACCATGGAAAGAGCCGGACCTGCCCAGCGAGCCTAAGCACGGACAAGTGGCAGTTCTCCCACGTGGCAAGAAGCAAAACGGTGGCGATGGGTGACGGAGGTAACCCCACTACCCCTCTCTCTCCCTTTTCCTCCTCGTCTCTCCTCTCCCTGCCTGACAAATTTTGCTATTTTTGCGAAGCTATCTTCCGCGTATACTCGGTCTCCATGCGTCCTAACGGGAAGGGTATGTTGATTGGATAGATTGTCGACAGTGTGTCGCACGAGCCCACGGCTCGTGCATCCAATACAGAAACGATAGTAAACCATGGTTGTGCCCCTTGTGCCGGACCGACAAGATTCCGACCGAGGCCCGCTTTTTGGATGCCACGTCAGAAGGGTTGAAAAAGACCCGGAAGTTTAGAAGGGCCGAAGTATGGACTGATATTGCCTTGATTGCCACCTTGGTTGGCAACCCCCTCCAAGACTTCACCAAGGAAAATCGGAGGAGGGCCAACGAGAGGGCTCGAGATTACAGATGGATAGAGGGCAGATTAGAAAAACGGAAAACAAACGGCAGTGGGATTTGGATGGTTGTGCCACATCCGTTCATGCGGTATGACTTGGTTAAGACGGCGCACGAGGAAACTGCGGCTCATTTTGCCGTACGAATCACGGAGTCCGCTATCGACAAAAATGAGTGGTACTGGTCCAATATCCGCGACGATGTGAAATACATCGTCGCCATCTGTCAAGTCTGCGCCGCTGATAAAGCGTCGATTCAGCCCCCAAGGTCGATAGTACCCACGGTAGTTGAACGACCGTTTCAAAGAGTGAGCATGGACACTACCGACATGGTGGTACCTCCTGGCCCTAATAGCTGCGAATATTCAGTTCTATTGGTATTTGTAGACCATTTCTCAAAATGGATCGAGGCGTACCCTTGTCGCACACGGCAAGCCACGGAAATCGCACAATACGTCGATCGTTTCCTCGGGATGCATCAGGATACGGAAGAGATCCTGATTGACAACGGGGTTGAATTCAGGGGAGAAGTGCTAAGGAATCTGGTCCTACATGGAGTCGCCATACGGAACACTGCACCCCATATGTCACAATCCAATGGGCTGGTCGAGAACGCTAACCGGGTGATAAAGACAACATTGCGACGAAATATCGTGGCACGGGATCCAAGTCCCTGGCCCGATATCGTCGATCACATCCCGGCAGTCCACCGCGGAACGCCCCACGAATCGACGGGGTTAAGCCCCTTCCAATTAAGGACCAATAGCGTCGCTTGCATTTCGATACCAAACCTCCCAGATGAGTCTACATTGAACCGACGGCCCACCAAGGCCACGGTTCGGGACAAGGCCAAACGGGACCTAGAGCTAATGGAACGGTCACTGCCCAGGCTAGCCCGAAAACAACAAAAAATGACCGAACTAGCCCAAGGCCGACAGGTCCGAAGCTACGAGGCCCGAAATAGGAATGTGGGTCCGCGGCCCCAGTACAAATTGGGGGACGTTGTGCAGGTGAGGAAATGTGCTCGCCACTGAGTCGCCAGGGTAAGCTAACGCCACGATTCTTCGGGTGATATCGGGTGATCGAGCTCGGGCCTCACGGCGTGGACACCGTGCGTCTTGCCCCCGAGGTCTCTGGCAGTCGATCGGCCCGTCTGATCACACGCCATGTGTCCTATCTTCGCCTCCTCCCCTCTACCCCATCTCCTTCTTCATCGGTCTCTCCCTCTGAGGAAGCCGCTGACGACGACTCTGCCTCCCCGACATCTCCCTCTTCTTCTTGCTCCCTCTCTGCCTCCCCATCACCTTCGCCATTGCCATGAGTTTTCTGGAGGAAAGAGCCCTCAGCGAAGTGTCGCTTGCGCCCCGTGATTGATTGGCAATCCGGCAAGTCCATCATCCCCACCTCAGTCCAGATCTTCGACGGCTTGCACACTTCTTCTGCACGGAAGGCGTGTATGCAGCGGTGGTGTTCAGAATCGAAGGCCGGCCTGACGCGGTGGTATTGGCCGAGGCGGTAGCAGTTCATCAGCGAGCGGTGCCAGGTGTCAGCCGCATATCAGTCATCATCAACTTCAGCGGCGATCTCTCCACGCTCCTTCCCTTACGACATTCGGCGGTGAAGACATCGCTGTGCACGTGGGCAAACGATCTGGTCGCCGAGTGGACTCGGCTGCTGGCTCGTCCCGGGGATACAATCGCGACGTCACGAGCAATCGAGAACGACGGCCTTCGGATGTATCAGCGAGATCCGTCGGCGGAACTCCCTGTCCTCGTTCCCTTTCCACATCCTCAATGAGTCTCTCTCTGATCTCCATTTTTTATCTCCCGTCCACCTTCCCTACCTTCTGGCAGTCCGATATCCATCCTCGCCTTTCCTACTGTCTAAAGCCTCTTGTTGTCCCCCTTCTTCATCCTCCCCATTGGATCCTGTGGCGCAAGGAGCTCATCGAGCTTTCTGTGTGTTTGGTTGAGGTACGGCTGATGTGGACCGAGGACGGAGCGCACCCGCCTCACGTAGAGCGTCTGGAATTGCTGCTTATCCAGGCCTGGCGCACCAACGTGGAAGGAGAGCTTCTCGCGTTTTTATTTGGAACAGTGCGGCCCGGTCATCAGGAGCTTATTACGCAAGAGCTCACAATCCCTGTAGCGCAGCTGGCGGATGATCTCCCTCTCGACATCATGGCGCAAGACGACGAGCATCCGGTTCCCAACGTACTCTCTCGCACATTGACACCTTACCTTCAGTGATCGGCTTGCGTGGAAGGAGTCGCAGAATGCATCCCGCCGTCGCAGCAACAGTATTTGGATCCCCGGACGGCTCGCGATCCTACCTTCTTCAGGCACCCTACGGCGGAGCAGTTTGCTGCTATTCGAGAAGAGGAGGAGGAGGAAGAGAGCAGCGAGAGTGACGAAGGAGAAGACGCGCAGGAAGAAAGAGGGGATAGCGACGAAGTGCTCGGTAAAGAGGACGTAACCCCCGAACAAGGGAGCTATAGCGAGGGGGAACAGAGTGAAGAAGAAGAAGACGAGGAAGAAGAAGAGGAGCATGAAGACGAGTCTGCTGGATCGGAGTGGGAAGCCGTGCCGGAAGAAGCACTGCGTACGGGCACAGAGGCTGAAGATCCCGAGGCGGCCCGCAAAAGAGAAGAGATCGCGGCCGGGAAGGAGTTAGAACTCGCAAGCGCAGCGAGTCTGCAGATCCACGACGACCCGAACGGAGATCTGGAACCGCCCTGACCTGAAGATGGCGACCTCGCGGCCGCGACTCTGACCCCATCAGCGCGGCGACGGAGCCGATCCCCCTCCTCCCCAAACCGTCCCCCAGTTCGCCGACGTACCGATACGGGCGATCGGCCTTCGTCCCCGATCACTCTCTCGCCGTCCCCCTGACTACCTCGCCCTCCGCGATCTCACTACCCCCGTCACGTTCCCCTCCACCCCGTTCCCCCGCAACACCTTCCGTCACTTCTACGCCGCCCGCCTCGTTGTAGTAGTGCATCCCCACCCCTCCATTCGATGCGCCGTCCCGACTTTCTGCCTCCATGTCTTGCTCCTTAGTGCCGCGTGGCGAGGCCACAATATGATCGAGGTTTATTGTGTGATAACGGGGACCGTCCCCGCCTGCGAAGACCGTGATCGCTTCCGCGCGGCACTTTTTCGAACCCTCACTACCCTCTATCCCGACTATCTCGCGTCCCTCCCTCACACTGGCAACCGATTCCCCCGTTTTAATCGCATTGTTCCTTATCAGGATCTCCTGGAGACTGTAGCTGGAATGGAAAGCCTCCTGCCCCTGCTACCCATAAACCCTCCACTCCGCCATGCCGCCATGCCGCCATGTACCGACTTCCCTTCCCCCTCCCGGTCAATTACTGATGCAGCGGTAATAGACGCGTGTCGCGGCGACGACACGAGAAAGATCCCGTCCTTGGATCGTCGAGAGCCCAGCCTGAGGAACTAATAGAAGAGCAATATTGCCACGTTGGATGACGTCCACACGCAATTGAACGGTAAGTGGCATAGAGAGAAGTGCTCTGCGTGTCGATCGATTAGAGAAATCGACACGTGTCAACAAGCAAGCAGGAGCTTGCTAATACTGGAACCAGCTGGGCGTCACATATGTGACGAACCACTTTCGGTAACGCACGATTTTCTGCGTGGTCGCAACGAGGGGTCCTAAGCTGGGAAGGTTGGGCCAATTACGGGAGATCGGGATCGGTGGAAAATTGCATCAGTACCCTTGCTTTTTCATCTTTTTCGTCGCTTCTTTTCGTATGACTGGGTTCGGAGCTGGGTGTGTCCTGGGATGGCCGGTTGATTGATTGGTCGGATGGATGGATAGCGCATCCCCACGCGCGCGATTAATGAATGTTGACGTCGTTTCCTTCGTTTCGGTTTCGACCTTTTTGGCGCGGACATCGCGCGGGAATTTGCTTCGTTCTTTTTGAATTTTCTTTTGAGTCTTTTTCGAATTTTGTCGAGCCCTGATAACTCTCGGAATTTCGGACTTTCCCCCTGAAGTTCGTGCTTTTTGCTTTTTCGCATTAGATAGGAATTTAGGAATTCGATAATTAGGATTTCCTTGCCGCGCGGCGCCTTTTGTCTACGCGCTTCTTCATGCGGCTGCAACGGTACTCTGATTAGCGGACGCCCTTAATTGTGTGTGTAACTATAATTTTGGGCGGGCACCATTGTAACCGTATCTTTCTTCTTGCACTTCGTCTCTCCTGCCCTCCCTCTCTTTTCTTTTGYTGTGATTTTTGTAAGCCGCGGGTTGCATGCTCGGATCGATGCGTGGACAAGGGCTACGTCCCGCACGCCGCGGCCTGATCATGCAGAACGCAAGCGCTCCCTCTCTAATCCCCGTTCTAAGTCCTGGTAATTCCGTGTTCTTCGCGCATACATGCACACTATAAATTCTGGTTGCGCGATTAGTCAGCTCTCTTAACCCGTTGTTGGAAGCTCGGGGTTTCACGATCAGGAAGGGTCGGCACACGAGCGAAGTAAGAGGTGAGTAGAGTAGGAGTTGGGCGACCCGACGGGCTGGTGCCGAACGCGCGGGATAGACGTGGGCCACGACAGACTGTGGGCACGGGCGAATCTTACGGGTGCAGGAGGACTAAGCGGGGTGACAAGTTCGTGGGTTGGTGTGTGACGACGGACTGTCTGCATCGGAGAAGAGAGAGAGAGAGGAGGAGAGAGTTGAGGTCGATGGACGCGGATTTGCTGTTTCTTTGTCTCTTCCCCCTCTTCATTTGTGTACATGATACATTTTGATTGCGGCTCCGGGCGGTTACCCGTTCTTGTTTTCGTCTCGGCTTTCTGGAATCTGGACTTGGGTTTTTGCTCACACTTGTCTTTGCGATTTCCGTCTTGATTGCATTATGTGTATGATTACTGAATGTATGGATGTATGGATGTGATGCCTGCTTGTCTATCTTTTTGCTGAGAATCCTTGCCCTTGCTTTTGATGTGTCGAATCTTCGCCTGCACCTGATACAACTGTAGAGGGGATAAGAACTTGGCCCCGATAGCGATTTTGCTCTCGTTGTTACTTGGGCTGTGGTGTGGTTGCATCTCGCATAACCGAACCTACGGAGCCATTAGACAATCCGATGTCGGGCCCCGC